TTTTGAAAAGAGGGAGAATGAAGAGGACTTGGCGCCAGCTGCGGCTCAAAATTTCTTTTTAGATGAAAGAAGAGAGGCAGCCAGGATTCGTCCGGGCTCGAGGCATTGCGGGGGCCCCTTTTGTTGTATTATAAGCCCGGGCCCCCGAGGCCGCGTCATCTTGCAAGCTAAAGTTAAAGGGGTTTTGGGAATTTGTCGAGGCCTCGAAAGGTCTCGAAACCCCTCGAAACCCCATGAGTAGGGAAGGCCTCGGAAGGCCTCGAACCTCCGCAGGGTAAGACCTCAGAGGCCTTGCAAATCGCGTACACATGTTTGCAAAAGTTGCCAGTTTGCGCGACTCCAAATCTGGGGCTCGAAAAATCTCAACAAGTCTGGCTTCGCGCGCGTGGGCCTCCCCGGAAATACGGACTGAATCATCGTGCGGGCAGGATGCTTTGGCCATTTGCCCACACTGGACGCAATCATCATGCGGGCGTGGATGCTCTTGCCATTCGCACGCACTGGTAACACGGACGTAATCATCGTGCCGGCATGGATGCTCTGGCCAGTCACGCACTGGCAACACCACCCCTAGTCGTAGGAGCAGTATCAGTAGGAGGAGTAGCAGCAGTAGTAGCAGTAGTAGTAGTAGTAGTAGTAGCAGTAGTAGTAGTAGTAGTAGTAGTAGTAGTAGTAGTAGTAGTAGTAGCAGTAGTAGAAGTCGTAGTAGTAGCAGTAGTAATAGTAGTAGTAGTAGTAGTAGTAGTAGTAGTAGTAGTAGAAGAAGTAGTAGTAGTAGTAGTAGTAGTAGTAGTAGCAGTAATAGAAGAAATAGTAGTAGGGGATAGTAATAGTAGTAGAAATTGTAGTTGTAGTAGAAATAGTAGTCGTAGTAGCAGTAGTAGTAGTAGTAGTAGTAGTAGTAGTAGTAGCAGCAGCAGTCGGAGTAGCAGTAGTCGGAGTAGCAGTAGCAGTAGCAGTAGCAGTAGCAGTAGCAGTAGCAGTAGCAGTAGCAGTAGCAGTAGCAGTAGCAGTAGCAGTAGCAGTAGCAGTAGGAGTAGTAGTAGTAGTAGTAGTAGTAGTAGTAGTAGTAGTAGTAGTAGTAGTAGTAGTAGTAGTAGTAGTAGTAGTAGTAGTAGTAGTAGTAGTAGTAGTAGTAGTAGTAGTAGTAGTAGTAGTAGGAGTAGTAGTAGCAGTAGTAGTAGTAGTAGTAGTAGTAGTAGTAGTAGTAGTAGTAGTAGTAGTAGTAGTAGTAGTAGTAGTAGTAGTAGTATAGTAGTAGTAGTAGTAGTAGTAGTAGTAGTAGTAGTAGTAGTAGTAGTAGTAGTAGTAGTAGTAGTAGTAGTAGTAGTTAGCAGTAGTAGTAGTAGTAGTAGTAGTAGTAGTAGTAGTAGTAGTAGTAGTCGTAGTAGTAGTCGTAGTCGTAGTAGTAGTCGTAGTAGTAGTCGTAGTCGTAGTCGTAGTCCTAGTCGTCGTAGTAGTAGTAGTAGTAGTAGTAGTAGTAGTAGTAGTAGTAGTAGTAGTAGTAGTAGTAGGAGTAGTAGTAGTAGTAGTAGTAGTAGTAGTAGTAGTAGTAGAAGTAGTAGTAGTAGTAGTAGTAGTAGTAGTAGTAGTAGTAGTAGTAGTAGTAGTAGCGGCCCCCCCCCCCCGCCCCCCAGCTGAAAAACATGCCTGAAGCAAGCTTGCGCAGCTTAACAAGTGGGGGGGTTGGGTAACACAAGGGTTGAGGGTTTGGGGTTGAGGCAAACACAATGCTCGCATGATGGGTTTGAAAAACTTGTGCCTGAAACAAGTGCACGGCTTAACAAGCGGGGCCTCCACGGTGTGCGACTTGCATATGGGCCTATCCTAAAACGATAGGGGTCTGTCGCCCGCATAGGGGTCTATGCCAGAGCAGCCCCACCCCGGTGCATAGGCCCCTGTCCTATGGGAGGTACCTATCGGTTTCCGGATGGACCCTAAAGAATGGGATCCAGGCCATACTCGGGCTGTCAACCACCACGGGATCATCAATGTCAAGGGCAGATCCACCATACAAGACGGGACCTTGACCTTGAATTCGAATCCATCTTGAAAAAAGCAGTTGCGCTTGGCTTTGAATGTCGAAGCTTTGGAAGGCTGCGAATGAAGAACACTCGGCTCAATGCTTTAAGTTGCTTTCAATCAAGAGCTGAGGCACATGTAACAGAACTGTAAGCACGCTTTCTGCAAACCTTAAACAAGCAAGGCGGACATTCTTCTTGATGATGGCATCGTCAACTTCTCTGGTTTCTGAAAGGGCTGTTGACAGCTAAAGAAATTTTTACGGAGCTTGGAAAAGAGAGGATGGAAATTTAGGGGAAACGAAGCAGGTGTATTGATGCGGGGATAATCGAAGAAAAAAGGCTGAAAACCAGGGGTGAAAGGGCAAGATTCAGGAAAAACTTTAATCTGGGAAGAAAACATTGAAAGAATCGTCTTCACCAAGTACAGGCCAAAGCTTGTTGACTCTTGTCTCTGGGAAAAGAGGAACATTGACTGATCTAACATCCTTCCTTTTGAAAAGCGAATAAGGTGGATAGGGGTAAATAATGAAGAAGGTATGTGAGGATTTGACAAATTAGCGGAGGGCGGCAACGATTGAGACTATCACAAACCTTTGGCGCAGGAAAATGAGACATCACAGCATAGTTATGAGGGGTGTGGGGGGGAGGTGATTGGTCCGTGACGGGTGGGTCATGGCTAGGATTTCATAGTGCGTACCTACAGGGCCTCAAGGCTTGGGTAAACCCAGCCCCAACCTCAACTACCCCATCCCTTCAACTCCGATTCAGCGCAATTCACCATCCGATTATCGCACTTTGGTTTGCCGCCCTCATATACAGGGTGCTTGATGTGCCATAATCCGGCTGAGCATCCCAGTGCAGGTATTGTCGGCTACAACTTGGTCTGAAGTTCCCGTCGCGAGTTGGTGACCGTGCCGTTTTTGGCCTACAACTTGGTTGAACACTGTGGGTTGGTGACCCAGACCACTTTGATTGCCCGGTGCGGGTTGGTGACCCGTGCCATTATTGCCTACAACTTGTTGAGCTTTCCAGTGCGGGTTGGGGACCCGCGTCGCTTCGGAACATCCACAAGCCTGCATAGATGCGTCTGACGCTGACGTTATTTTTCAATCGCAACAACCATTGCGCGCCGTGGCTCAAGGTCGTGTCGACAGGAAAATCATAGCCAAATCAGCAAATCCAGGAGGTTGCAGTCATCACAAGTATCCTCATGCTCTTGTGTCTGTTTGTTTTTACAAGAGGGGTTTGTATGACGAATGTCAACAGTTGTTCATCTCAGAACCATACGACAATCATATCAACAAAGGAGCAGCTGCCTGATTAGTGCCAAGCACTACTAAAGAGAATCTTTGCACATTAGTTCGAGAAACATTGATGTCTCCTCCGCCTGAACATGTCCGGAGTGCTTCCGAACAGTCCAGGAGTGTGCTGCTTGTTGTGCCTGTATGTGTTAGCTTCATTTTGCTGTAGCCAAATGTGCATCCTGTTGACAGCCTCGGCGATTTGCAAAGACATTCGTGTGGCTTCCGGTCATTAGCATTGCTTATGGTGAAAGGCCTGGGACGGAATCTGCAGATGGCCGGCGCAGGACTTTGTTTTGGTATGTGGATGATGGTGAAAACTCGAGAAGCCGCATTGCGTCATGTATTGAGCTTTTGATGCAAGTTGTTATCAAGATTTCCGTGAGCCGCATTGGGTTGGAATGGAAATGAATAACATGTGGCCTCAGGAGCTCCACCTTAGGCAGCCGAGCATCTTGAAAGCATTCAACAGAATTTGTGAACTTTTAACCTGTCAAGTTGGCTGCCAATACACAAAATGCAACGCGCCTGTTTTCTTGCATGTTACGACCGAGACCACGTCTACGCCGCATACTCCGAGAAGTGCCCGGGGCAGGCAATTCGGACAGCCAAGTCTAGAAGGATGGCACAGCGCAGTTTCTGGCAATTTGTGTGTGTGTGTGTGTGTTGGTTCTTGAACCGTGCAGCAAGCCAAGTCCGGGGCTATGCACTGGCTGTGGCAGGCGCTCTTCAGACAGTCCTGGTGCTGCCACTGCTTTCCTCAGTCAACTGGTGCAATCCCTACGGTCATCATTGTGAGTAGCAGCTGTTGTCGAGATGTGTTTTTTTGTGCGCCAGGAAAGACAGCGAATACGACTTCGGGCAGAAATTAAGGCTGTCAACTCTTTGCAGACTGTGACACGGCTGTGAGCGCTGAGCGTGTTGTGAGTGAATGGCATCCTTGACCGTGCAGGATTGGACGAGTCGCTTGCAGAAGACAGACGACCTGGCTTCTAGTGCAGGAGGCATCAGCCTTGTATTGCTGTTCTTAGGAACCGCGGTGGTATTCAGACTTGCTGAATATGAAGAGGTCCTCAGCTTCGGTCCGTCGAACCCATTGTTTCGCTTGGAGAAGATCCTCACCACTCCAGCAGTTCGTGCTACAGGCCACACACAGGCTTTTATTGTTGCCTTTTCTTCAGCCTTTTTTGATGACGTCCAATGCCAGGGCGCACCTGAAGCTTCAGTGCGAGGACCCGATGTAAACAGATATCAGATTAGACGTCTGTTGCCTGTTCTGGAGCGCGGCTTCTCAGCACCAGCATCGTCCAGTTGCCAGTCTTTTTGGTGGGCTTTGTCAAACTTATTTCATTGTTTCTTCACGCAGAGGATGGCGTCCACTCCTGGAGCACGGATCCTTTTTCGTCAACGCCTGAGCTGCCAAAAAGAGTCCAAAACGAGTCACGAGAGAGGCAAACCACGAAGCTAAGATGCCGGAGTTGCAAGCCGCGGGGAATGCGTAAACTCTGTCGCTTTCCAGGCTTGACGAGTTGCTGCGGATCGTTGTCAGGCTCGACATTTTGTTCAACCCTAGCTGAGCAACCAAATGAACATGAGAAGTACGCTCCCACTCATCTACCTAACTTGATCCCCGAGTAATCAAACAGGCGAATTCAGTAATCCTCTGCAAAATGGAATGCCGAGTACAATCACTATCAGCTGGCTCTGTTTGAACAAGTTTGACGAATCCGGGAGAATGGCCAGCCCATCCATGCCTCCGATCGTTGAGTTTTCAAGTTACGTGACACGAATGGCTGCGCAACCTTGCAACCTTGAATCGGAGCGCGAGGACACGTGCTGCATCAGCGACACGTTGGTGCCGGGCAGACAGACAGGTGTGGGGCCTCCGAGAATGGTGGAGACCGTCAGGGATGGACAAGATGTTAATTACTGCGGCATTGCCAGCATGGTAACAAGTATCAACTTCCCAACATGGTAAGGGATGTTCCCAGAGCCGAGGGCTTCATACCACCCGCCTCATGTTCATTTACCATTGCCTGCAAGTCAACTTGCAACTGCACCCGATTCGGATAGAGTTCCTCACTCGCCAGGCGGTGGCCCCAGGCCGCGATCCTTTCTGGGCCGTGGTCACTCGGCAACTGCTTGGCCTTTGCTCTTGCACAGTCGCACAACCACGCACGCTTTCATGGACGGTTTTGCAATCAATGCTACTAACTCAGGTGAGCGTGGCTCTTTGTGCCGCCCCGGACCTAGAACTGTTCTAGGCTTTCCTTTTTGCAGATGCTGTGTGCGTAGCTAGTTGGAAGTGGAAGAGTTCTGGGAGTTGATGCACGATGGCACCCTAGATTTGCAAGAGACTCGTTTTCAGCTGAGCAAGATCAAGTCTCGTAGGCTATTCGGGGTTTTGCAAACTTCTGCAAGCAGTCTCGAATGTGCTTGCAAGGTGAAGACCTCTGCGTTCTGGGGTGCGCTGCTTTGGGCATCCTGGCTGTTGGCAAAACTTCTCAGGTGGGTCATTGAGAAAGCGAGAAAACATGTCGGTTTTCGCCTCGTGCACAGCACACCTTGAGACTGAAAGTCGCTAGGCCTGCCGTGCGCCTCCCTGCCCAGGGTCATTGTACTTGAGCAGGACGTGCAATTCGTCCGGTCTTTGGCCATGTGCATGCATCTCCCTGAGCAGGTACACCGGTCGCTTTTACTTGCCGACATGGTGGCAGATTTGCCTGACATGTCCTTCCCTCAAGCATCTGCGTGTGCAGTAGGGTAGGGTCACAGGTCTGTTCATGGCTGCGGCAGCATTTGTGTCCACTTTTGGGACTGTGTGTGCTCTCGTTTGTTGCCTTTGCAGACAACCTGCGCTCGAGCCGCTGATCGCACTCTTCCTCTCCTTGGCCCTGGGAAGCTTTGGGGCACTGCTGTTGCCCGACTTCACAAGAACCCTCAACTGTGAAAGATGTAATCCCCTCCCCCTAAGATGACTCCCCTACCCCCTACCCCGTAACATTAAACACTTCCATTATGGGGGTTACGCTGGGCCACCTGGGCCGCCAGTGCGTTGACCCTGAGTATGGACATGGAGTGCAGGCCCAAGGCAGGCCAAAACCCTAAAGATGTTGGCTGTGCCCAGAGCCGCCCATAGAAAATGTCAGCTGGGGCTTGAAAAAGAGACACAGTGATGTGCTGTGTGCGGAGCCTTTAGCTCTCAAGCCTCGAGCCTGAAAAACTTTACTCCTTAGCCTAGCCCCAGCTTCTCAACACTTAAGAGTGAAACTCGAGTTAGCTTTGCGTTACGAAACTCGCATGGCGTCACCGGGGATTATCTGAAGGCAAGTTGTGGTGTGGGGGGCGCGGATGTGAGGGTAGGAGATCAGGAAGGGTATGCTTCGCGGATGCTGTATGTGTCTTTCCCTGCCCTTATGAGAACCTTAAGCAGATGACGAACCTTGGCCTTGCACGGAATTTCGATTCGTTAGGACCCAAATCCCTTCATCCAAGGATGGCTGGATTGACAGAGGTTTCTTTCCTGCCCGCAAAGGCAGGATGATTGGCACAACGCTAGAGCATCTCCTAACTGCGCAGTCCATTCCGCAGTTTCATTGTTTTGGCCATGCTCACCGCATGCGAGGCCATCTTGAGCCTCGAGCGGAAGGCATGGGTGCAATAATATGAATCACCGAAGGCAATCACAGCAATACGTGATGCTGAACCCACTTTTGATGACATGAATCGGGAATTTCAGCGACATGCAAATCTCAAATGCAGGAGTCCACAATGCACAATTCTGACCGAGGGCGTGGTTTGCACTACAATCTGTCCTGCAGGCTGAGACGGAGAAAGTTCGCGAACAGCTGAAGCTCTTGCTTCGCAGCCGGAACCTTTGGTGGGAGCTAGGAGGTTTTGTTCGATAACATGTTGTCACATTTTCCAGAATGACAATTGGGCACGCTGGCCGAGGCAAGGACTGCCTTTGTAACATGGACATCTGCAACTTCCTATCTCTGGGTCGGCTCCTTACTGGACTTGCGGCAGTCTAAGGCTGCGGCCATCGGATGGCAGAATTTTGTTTCTGGTCTTTGCAGGAAGCAAGATATATTCGCCGCATGGTGGTAGGGTGTCCCCCTCCTGGTTCATGGTAGGTTTAGGGTTTAAGGTTTATGAGGGTTTAGGGTGAGACGGTTAGACTTTCAGGGTTCAGGCTGTGGGGTTTTCACTCTGCCCCCGTGGTCCATGAAAGGTGTAGGGTTTAGAGTCAGGGTTTAGAGCTTCCCTCTCCACGCCTGTGGTTCGTGATTGGTTTAGGGTCAAGGGTCAGTGTGGGTTTAGGGCCTGGGGGAGTGCACCCCAGCCGTGAGGCATGGCGACTTACTTCAATTCCTCGGAGACCCACAAGGCCTCCCCTGTAGCTGGAGAATGCTGGAGAGGAGCTCAGAGCTTAAGAGTTTAAAGCGCACGTATTCGCCCTGTGAAGGAGGGGCGCTGCTTCGTGCGGCGTCATGAAACAACTGAGGACATGGCAATATTGCAATGCATTCTACACATGCTGAACCGTCGATGAACCTATTGGGGCTCCCAAGCGTTATTCTTCAGAAGGGCTGTATTTCGAAGGGAACATGAAAGATTTTCTGTGGTACCGATTCAACGGGGCTGATGCCGCTCTTGGATGGTGGGCTTTGTGTACGCCACCTTCCCCATTTGGTCTTGGACTTTAGCGAGGGTCGAGGCTGGAGGCCGCACCCAGCGAAGGAATCAGTAGCCTACCCCGAGGCTTAGCGTCAGGTGCCTTCGGCCCCGGGTTTGACACCCGGCCCAACGCACGATGGCCCTGTCGCCCGTCGCCACACGTATGCAAAAGTGCTAGTAGTTGCCATTTTCGTGATTTCTGTGACACTTTGCTTTATAGTGATAGTGATGACGACAGTTAGTATTCAAATGAAGTTCCGAACCTCAAATTTTTCAGACGCCGGGCGGTCCAACGGCTGTATATACGCTGCCGTGCGTGCAAACAGAAAACAAGGGCGGAAGCAAGCCGGTTTCCAGATGTTCACAGCTGAGAATATGGCAGGGGGATGCAGGTGTGCCTTTCAGATTCAAGATTCAGAATTCAGCCCGGGTCAGCTGTTCCGCAGCAAAGAAGTTGTATGGCAGTTGGGTGTGCCCGGGGGTCGAAATTGCCTGCAATGACAGCCTGCGAAGCAGGACTACTTCATGAACCGGCGGCGGCAGCGCTGCTCGTTTTTCTGTGCGCGACTCAGCACAAAGAGCGAGACCTACTGCAATGTATATGCAGACATGACTCAGGTTCCAAAACAGATGTTTTTCTTATGCTGGATATCAGCTGTGCATGCGCATGCTCGTGCGATGCGGGAGTTGGTGCCAGGCCTCCGTTGCGATTTCCGCCTGGAGCTGGCACGAAGACGAGGGCTCCAGGACAGAGAGTGGGAAAAGAAAGGAACAGAGGAGCATTGGAGTTTACGATGCTTTGAACAAGTCTGCAACAACTCCCAGAGCTTGATGTCTTCAGTGGCCGAAGTGAGCCCTGTGACAGCCGTCGTTGTAGGAGCGCTGGCTCGTCCTGCGGAAAGACGGCATCGCCTTGTTCTCGTCCCTTATGGACCGTGTTTGAGTGCGCCTTCTGTTGGTACACAAATGTCAAAGTTGGCAAGTGGCGCTTCGTGTATGTGATTGGAATGGATCAGCTGCAGGACACAGACCCCACAGACATGCTGTTCTTCGATACAAGCTTTGCCATCATCCCAGAAACGCTCGGACTGCTACTTGTTTTCGCCCCTAGAGCAGACATGAACATGGATGTGTGATTTTCCAATTGCATGGGGGGACCGGACCAGCACGTGTAGGCGAATGGTCTAAAGTCTAAAGCCTTTGCAAGCCTCTTGAGCGCTTTTTCTGCCCGAAGAGCATTGAAGCCCTCTTGCCTTTTCAGCCTTGTTACAAGGCATCCTACCTTCCTCGGCCTCTTGTTCTCAATCTTCCTGTTCAACTGTGCCTGATGGTATGTTGCGAGCACTGGAGCCATCCACGATGTTTTTTTGCCCTGCTTGTCGCACCGCCTTTTCCGGAAGAGCATGCCTACTTGGGGCAAGCGGCAAGCGGGGCGGTTGTCAGGGTAGCCACAAGTCTCTGCCTGAGACAACCCAATGTGATGCAGACTTGTTCTCTCTCTCTCTCTCTCTCTCTTTCTCTCTCTCTCTCGATTTCTTGAGCTGTTCGTTACTAGGCTTCCTGCCCCAAACCCCCCTGCTTCCCTCCGTTGCCGGCTGGGGTAGGATGCGAAGGCAAGTGACAGAAGTCAGTTAGTGGTGCCGATTTCCACACGCATTGTGATGTTAATCGAACTAAAGTTGTCATGCAGCGCAGCAGGCAGCCAACAAGTTGAACAAGCACCCTTGGCACTGGAACAACAGCATTGTTCATTGTACGTTGGTTAGCCTTCCCAACAATCGAAAGGTACTGCAAGAATGTGTCCAGGCGTCATCCTTTGCAGAAGAGGTTAGGAATAAATAGCTGTTTAGCTGTTGAATATGCGGTTTTCTGTTCCGTTTCGCTCAGGCGTTGTTTCGAGATGAAGAGGACTGGGCCGTCCCATATGCCTGATCTGAGAGCTGGGATTTGCTATGTTGTGACATCTTAGACTTAGATGCGGGTAGCGGGGCGTTGTAGATTGACTCCACGCCAGGATCACGTGCTCGTGAAAGGAGCATCTTGGGTTCTTGAGCTGTCCTTCGGTGATGGCCCTCGCAGGCAGCAGGGGTTGCATGTTTCTAGCATTTTGACTGGAGTCGATGGGACGCGTGACGCAGATCTCGGGATGGGTGCTGGATGAAAGGAAGGCCTATCGGCCTGTCGGCAAGTGCCGATTCGTCATGATCATCGCAAGTGCAGTGTGATCTGCCTGAAGATTCTGAGCCGAACTTCTTTGGGATGATCAAGCCGCCGTTCCGGCGGCAGGGCGCTCCAGTGCGCACTCCGATGTGCATCCAGTGCGCACTCCCGCATCAGCATCCGGTGCGCACTCTTTTTGCATCCGGTGCGCACTCCTCGAATCTGCAGGTTTTTTAGGGCTTAGGGTTTTTAGGGTTTTAGGGTTTTAGGGTGTAGGGTTTTTAGGGTTTAGGGTATTTAGGGTATTTAGGGTTTTTAGGGTTTTGGGGGTTTTTAGGGTTTTTAGGGTTTTTGGGGTTTTTGGGGTTTTAAGGGTTTTTGGGTTTTTAGGGTTTTTAGGGTTTTTAGGGATTTTAGGGATTTTAGGGTTTTTAGGGTTTTTAGGGTTTTTAGGGTTTTTAGGGTTTTTAGGGTTTTTAGGGTTTTGAGGGTTTTTAGGGTTTTTAGGGTTTTTAGGGTTTTTAGGGTTTTTGGGGTTTTTAGGGTTTTTAGGGTTTTTAGGGTTTTTAGGGTTTTTAGGGTTTTTAGGGCTTTTAGGGCTTTTAGGGCTTTTAGGGCTTCTAGGGTTTTTAGGGTTTTTAGGGTTTTTAGGGTTTTTAGGGTTTTTAGGGTTTTTTTTAGGGTATAGCATATTTAGGGGGTTTTAGGGTTTTTAGGGTTTAGGGTTTTTGGGGTTTCGGGGTTTTTGGGATTTAGGGTTTTTAAGTTTTTTAGGGTTTAGGGTTTTTTCGGGTTTAGAGGTTTTAGGGTTAGGGTTTCAGGGTTTGGGGTTGTTAGGTTTAGGGTTTTTAGGGTTTAGGGTTTTTAGGGTTTAGGGTTTTTAGGGTTTAGGGTTTTAAAGGTTTTGGGTTTTTAGGGTTTAGGGTTTTTAGGGTTTAGGGTTATTCGGGTTTAGGGCTTTTCGGGTTTAGGGTTTTAGGATTTTTAGGGTTCAGGGTTTTTAGGGCGCGGCTTAGCATTTAAATTTATGCTTCGAAACACACCCAGGAGCACAGACTCGACGCATTTGGAGCGCACACTCGACGCAAAGAAAGGGAGCGCACACTCGATGCCTTCCCCCGTTCCGGCCGGTATCGGCAGTGTCATAGTACCATGGTACCATAGCCAGTGGTAGTGGTCGGGTCAGGAACTATGTAGTTTGGAAGTAGCAGTAGCCAAAGCATGATGCCCCCACGATGCGCCTGTCTCATCGATCCCGTGCAATCGCAATTGGAGGGAGAGATCCTTCTTGTCGGCGAAGCGAACAATAAAACCCTCACCTGTCGTCTGGTTGGAGCGCTCCCCCTTGAAAGGCACAGCAGCGCACAAGGCTGGTGCAATGCCATCACTGCAGTCGCCTCAAGAGCTTCTGCGAAATTTAAAGATACGGTTGGGGTAGAGGTGCATTGTTGCACGCTTGTTTGCTTGGGCGATCCATATACAACACTGCGCAATGCTCAAATCGATTGACTCGAGGTGACAGCGCAGCTGTCCACCCGAACGAGGGAGCAGTGTGGGCCTATGCAGCATGGTGCTACGCTTTAATGCAGCATAGAAATGCATCTGTCAGCTTCAGGAGGGACTTTTTTGGGGATCCCGAATCCCAGGCGCTACGGCTCCTTCGCGCCGCTGCGGTCCCCCGCCGCCCCAAAGGCCGACGGTTCAAAGTGGCCTTGGAGCTTCGGGTTCCTTTTTGGGCTCAGATTGCAGAGCTTCACCTATCAAAAGGCAAGAGGCCCTCCGATTTCAAAGTTGCTGATCCAGCCACCTCGAGCAAAGTGTGTTGAGTTGACCGTTGGGGGGGGGTAGGGAAGTGGTGGATTGAGAACATGATCCAGCCGAGATGCCAACGTTACAAGCAGAAACACAAGTATAGTTGGCTAAGTCCTCCCTGAAAAGGATGGTGATCGGCATATGCTCCGCCGGAGCTTGTGCCGTTATGCTGTCAATGGCCGAGCGATCTTCCGCGCTGTCGCCGAG